TTGAATACTATAATTTGTAAAAGAATAACGACATTTGTCTTCATGAAAATAGACCATCTTGTCAATACAATGACATTAAATGATATGTCCAATTAAATTAACGTAGGGATATGAAATTCACATTATCATATAATTGAATTGTCATCTAAACATGATGAGCAATCATCATGATCACAAATAAAATTACTCTTTGTAAAAAAAATAAAGTTACAAGATCGTGACACAAAAGTTACATAGACCATATCATCGATATTCATAATAAATACGAAGGAATATAATATTAACTTTTTTTTTGTACCTTTTAATAACTCTATCCATTTATGTAATATATATTTATGAAATATTAGCCTCATTTGACAATCATTATTTTCAAACTCTTTTTTCTACATATTAATTCTCAATCATGCATTCTCACAATAAAATATTATGCACGTAAATCCAAAACTTTTTCCTATTTTTTAACCAGACATTCTCTAAAAATCACTATTCAAAACATGATTTTTTCCATTAATGGTTGTCAAATAGGGGCTTAGAATTCTATGATGAAAATTGTTGCAAGATATTGCTTTTTCTTTTTAATTTCTGGGCTTGATAATTGTTTTAAAAAAAGTTAAAATTGAAATATCTAAGAGTGTATTTGGTAGAGATTAAAATCGAATTAAAATTGAGAAACTAGTCGTTATTGTTGACTTTTATTAGTCGAGTGGAACCCAATAACGACTACATTTTCAATTTTAATTGAATTTTAATTCCTCTCAAACAAGCTCTTAGACTACATCCAATTTATTGATATTATACCTTTGCGATTTGACTCTTGCGCTCTTGCTTATTTATAAAGGCTTATATATTTACAATCATGCTATATGTACATTATTTTTACATCTTCCTTTATATTGTGTCACATAGCAAAACATTATTGGACAGTTCAAAAACAAAAACATTTTTTCCGCCCACAATTTTCAAAAAACAAAGGCAATGTCAAAAAGAATGTAAAAGAGTGTACATTTGGCTCTTGTTTGTTCCCTATTATTTTTAAAAAATATTTCTTTATCTTATTTTCAATCATACATTTTTTAATAAAATACTATTACGCGAAACTCAAAAATTTTCTTTATTTTTTAATCACACGTTCTTTATGAAAATATTATTTTAAAATACATTTTGAGAGAAAAATGGCGCTTGCTTTATTGATATATTTAGGATAGTGTAATGAAGAAGTTTGACTTATTTTGTCTTTTTTTTAACATGAAGGGTACTTTCAATTTGAATTTTTTTACTAGTTCTTATCCCAAAAGGAAGCATTTATCAATTACTTTCCTGGCAAGTCACTTTCTTAGGGTTTAAACTAGGAGAAAATTCTATAAATGGAACTTGGTGTATGGATCTAGCTTATTGATATGTTTCGAAAAATTCAATATCTTATAATAACGAGGCTAATTCAAGTGGAAAAATTCTAAAGATTGCTAATTGAAGGTTAGTTTCATCGATTATTTTTATGTCTTCAAGCTTTCTCCAATTACCATTATTTTTATCTCGAAATCTTTTCCCTTCAAATAGTCGTAGCTCTTAAGATTAGAATGCATAGATGAACTTTGCAAGAATCAAATTAATAGATAGAAAGAATGCTCATAAATGGAAAGTTAAAACCGGGTGATGCCGGCCATGATTAAGAAAATATCAGTTGTGAATAAATTTTCAATTGTCTGTGTTTAATTGTGCCCAATCGATGAAACCAAATAGAGTAGTATTCATTCAGTTAAACTCCAATCCGGTGGACATGTTCAAGAGTATCATATTTAGTGGCCGAGCCATAAACTATGTTCAATGGGAACAGAAGTTAAATATAGGAAATTTTTTCAAACAAATGAATATTAGAACTATCACAATTTTAAAAAAAAAAAAAAATCTTCTCTACGGGTTTTTATACTTTAAAAATGTTCGTTTTCAATTTTATACTTTAAAAGTACAACTTTTTCAATATAAACAACATAGCTTAAATAAAGCAAGTCCATTAAAAAAAAAAAAAGCAATTTCTTTTTTCTTCTGAAAAATGATTTTATTTGAAAAAAGAAGAAATTTTGCCAAAATACATCACCATTTTTCTTAAAAAATAAGTCACCTATTACGAAAGTAACAAAGGAGTTGCATTCAAAATAGCTAACTTTTTTTTTTACTTATAATAAGAAAGTAGTAACTTATCTGAATATAAGGCAATATTTGAATTAATATCACATTTACTTTTAAGCTTAACCAAGTATGGTGCTAATTTATATTGACAAAATCATCTCTAAAGCTTGTTTGGCATACTTTCTAAATGTTTATTAACAGTGGGTTATATGGAGTGTAGGTAAAAATTGTAGATCGTACATAATGTTTGGATAAAAAAAAATTATTCATTTATAAGCTATTTATAAAATTTACCGAACATCTGTTGAAGATATGGAAAGAATAATCTATATCATATTTTTTCAATGGTGTATGATTAATTCCTTAATAGTTGATTGTATAATTATTATGCAATCTTTCCTTTTAGAGTTATTTATAGCCCTATAAATATAGTCTTTTACTTTGTAACAGAAACAAATTTATTATATACAATTTATAATATTCTTCACATGATATCAGAACAGTTTCGATCCTAAACAAATTAACATTTGTATTTCGTTTCCGGCGAGCAGCCTTAAGTCGCTCGTCTGACTACCAATGTTGTTTTTTTTATTGGACTGTTGGAGTAATTGGGCCAATTATTTAATTGGATTGATTTTATTGTGGATTGTTAGCTTGTGTGGGCTGAAATTATTGTTTTGGGTCATGGGTTTTGTTGGTGAGGAAATTACACTAAACAAGGTGTTTAGTTTTGACTTTTAAAAAATAAGGTTTATACTTTACTTAATCAAAAATCAGGTTTTAATTTTTACCATTAATATTAATAATGATATTTTAAATTAAAATAATCTACATACCCA